CCATCCCCGGGCAGCAGGTACACATTTAAACCGGTGTAAAATATATTTTATTTCAATTCTTTGTCTCATACGAACAGACATTCCTCAAACCGACAAGAACACTGGTGAGTTTTTTACAGTAGTTTTAGTAAGAATTTTTTAAAAATTTTTGATTAAAATTAAAATCTGTTTTTGAAAGGTAATGTTTCTATTTAAATTTTAAATCTATACAGGATTATGAATAGTATAGATATATGTAATCCGAACAGCTAGTCTGAACAATTTTCAGTCATGTTGGAAATCCATAAACCACGTGTTGAGTTTGAAATGAAAATTGTTGTAAATTAAGTAAATTGTCGAAACCAGATGGAATGCAATAATAATTATTATGGGTTAAATAAGTTGAGGTACCATACCAGTTCATTACTGATGTTTAATTTAGTTTTAGGAAAATTTATTTTTATTGGTGATATGTTGAAGAAAAGAAAAGAGGAGAAATTCTGTGAACACGAAATTCGATCCATCATGGTGTGCTGGATTTTAATTTTATGTTGAAGATTTAAAACAAACTGAGAAGTATATCAAACCTGTATATCAGATGTATTTGATTAAATGGGTTCTTGGACAAATTGTTGTTTCTATGGTATTGAAGTAACTACAAAGTATTGTGTGATGTTAAAAGTTGATGTTTGTGGTAACAATTCTCAAAGTATATGGATCTACTGTAGAAAACGAGAAATGGAGTAGGTTCAGGTAATATTATTTATATCGAAAAAATTATTTTATAATAATACTGAATATACTGGTGTGTATTCTAATTCTAATTGTGCATTAAGTGTAACTGTTGTTTGATTTTTTAATGATTTTAATATTTCTAAATGTTCTAGGTTATTTAATAAGGAGCCTTTATTACAAGTATGAAGGATTGTGAAATCTGTTTGAGGATCAAAGCTGTGGTTTGTTCGACGGATATGTTGGGAGAAATGTGATTGGCCTGATGTTGGACGTTCTATATATCTAAGATGTTCCCCTAGTCTGGTATTGAAGGATCTAAAGGTTCTACCGATGTAACATGCATTGCAGGTATGGCAGCTCAACTTATACACTCCGCTATACTCAAGTGAGTTACGCTTGTCCTTGTTATTTAAGAAAGTCAATCCTAGATTTGAGGCAGTTTTAAATGAGATATTTATGTGGTCATCAAATACTTTTGCAATTTTATAGGAAAGTTCACCTATGTATGTTAAAGATCGGTAAGATTTTTGTTCCACTATTTCATTAAACTGTTGTGTGTATACTTGATGTTCTACCATTCTATTTGTCTTTTTATGCAAAATTTTATTCACTAGATTAGTGAATAAAATTTTGCATAAAAAGACAAATAGAATGCTAGAACATCAAGTATACACACAACAGTTTAATGAAATAGTGGAACAAAAATCTTACCGATCTTTAACATACATAGGTGAACTTTCCTATAAAATTGCAAAAGTATTTGATGACCACATAAATATCTCATTTAAAACTGCCTCAAATCTAGGATTGACTTTCTTAAATAACAAGGACAAACGTAACTCACTTGAGTATAGCGGAGTGTATAAGTTGAGCTGCCATACCTGCAATGCATGTTACATCGGTAGAACCTTTAGATCCTTCAATACCAGACTAGGGGAACATCTTAGATATATAGAACGTCCAACATCAGGCCAATCACATTTCTCCCAACATATCCGTCGAACAAACCACAGCTTTGATCCTCAAACAGATTTCACAATCCTTCATACTTGTAATAAAGGCTCCTTATTAAATAACCTAGAACATTTAGAAATATTAAAATCATTAAAAAATCAAACAACAGTTACACTTAATGCACAATTAGAATTAGAATACACACCAGTGTATTCAGTATTATTATAAAATAATTTTTTCGATATAAATAATATTACCTGAACCTACTCCATTTCTCGTTTTCTACAGTAGATCCATATACTTTGAGAATTGTTACCACAAACATCAACTTTTAACATCACACAATACTTTGTAGTTACTTCAATACCATAGAAACAACAATTTGTCCAAGAACCCATTTAATCAAATACATCTGATATACAGGTTTGATATACTTCTCAGTTTGTTTTAAATCTTCAACATAAAATTAAAATCCAGCACACCATGATGGATCGAATTTCGTGTTCACAGAATTTCTCCTCTTTTCTTTTCTTCAACATATCACCAATAAAAATAAATTTTCCTAAAACTAAATTAAACATCAGTAATGAACTGGTATGGTACCTCAACTTATTTAACCCATAATAATTATTATTGCATTCCATCTGGTTTCAAAAATTTACTTAATTTACAACAATTTTCATTTCAAACTCAACACGTGGTTTATGGATTTCCAACATGACTGAAAATTGTTCAGACTAGCTGTTCGGATTACATATATCTATACTATTCATAATCCTGTATAGATTTAAAATTTAAATAGAAACATTACCTTTCAAAAACAGATTTTAATTTTAATCAAAAATTTTTAAAAAATTCTTACTAAAACTACTGTAAAAAACTCACCAGTGTTCTTGTCGGTTTGAGGAATGTCTGTTCGTATGAGACAAAGAATTGAAATAAAATATATTTTACACCGGTTTAAATGTGTACCTGCTGCCCGGGGATGGAATCAATTTCCGGTTCCAATTGTCATAAATTAGTATTGCCAACTAATTATTCAAGATTTAAGTCAGTCAATTACTCGAATTCAAAATTTAAATAATCATCAATATTCACCCAATTACTAATTTATTTAATTATTAATTATTACATTTTAAATAAAAATATTTTAAGAAATGTTCATACACCATAATAGATAGCTCAGACCGACAATCATTTCAAATAAAAAATTTTTCAGGCAATTTGTAAATTTGTTATACCTTTCAATTACAAGTACACTTGTTTGTATTTACTAAATAATCATTTTAATTTGTTCTGAAATATTTAGACTAAAATTGGTTAGTTATAACAAATGATGTATTTCAATTATTCACATTGTTACCATAAAAAATTTTTGAATTTGAAACTTACTAATTAAAATTGTTAAAGTATGCCAATAATAAAACATCAATTTACTTTTGATTTCAAAATTAAAGCAAATTTTGATACATTCATTAATATCAACATACTCCATAATACTGAATAACTAAACTTACAGTATTTAGTAAGAGAAGAAGAACTGTCACACTTCAACCTACATATGTCAAATTTACCTCTTAAATCTAATAGATTAAATATGAAAAAACTCATTTCTTCCAACAAGTGAGATGTAGTGCTTACAGTTTCTTCCATCCCCAAGTTTAAGTTTTAAATTCAATGTTTGTCCCGTCATTTAGTGTTTCTGTTTCCTGTTAATGTGTGTTTAATTTGTCCCTGTTCATTCTTAAGTTATAATAATTTTATATACTTTTTTATATACCTTTTCACATAGTTGACTTTACAATAATTTAATAATTTTGCCAATAGACTTGATAATTGCAAGTCAAAAATTGCACAACCACACAATCGGTACAGCTACTCTTATTCATTGTCTTAAAACTGTCTCCTTCATTACATAAATACTCAATAAATAACACACATTCCAAAAAATATATCTCTGATATAAATGTAAATAATTTAAATAATACAATAGTAAAGAACATCACTTTCATCTGACAAACAACAACAATATACCTATCTCTAATTCATTGGATCAAATCTGTTCTCCTCAAGAACTTCCCGTTTATTGTCAAAACAACTGCAATAGCACATTAAAGTTCTCCAATCAACAATACATGATTTTTGCAACCATGACCTACCATCCATCAATTAATAGAGTACCGGCATGTAAGTAATGTTTGTTTTGTTTTGTTTTATTTATTTGCTCATTTATTAATTTATTACAACATAAGATTGCTACTTTATACCAATTGTGGGCCTTACCTTGTCTGTTAATACCTTTTATATATTCAAATTATTCATTTTGAAAACCACAGACATGTAATATTGGCATAATTACTATAATTTGTATGAACTAATTTATTTATTTCTTTATTTTATCTTTATGAGACACCACCCTAATTGGGTTTATTTTATTGCAGCATTAGTTTAACTTTGTATCCCGACCTGAAGATGCTTTGCAAATTATAGAAAGCGAAACCGGTCGTCAGATTGTTAAATTAAATTGATTGTGAGTAAGTCTTATAATTATTTCTTTACCTATTTGATATGGACTCACACAAGCAACACATTCATGATTTTAATATCAATAACATATCCGAGAGAATCATGTTGATACAATTCAATTAAAAGTAATACATCATTTTATTAATATTTAAAGAAAGACTTAAAAAAGTTAAAAACTCATAAGGTACCATTAGTTATGGGTGATTGTAATGCCAAAATAAGCAAGGAAGTTTCCTTCTTTATTAGGAAGCGTAATGAAATGGAATGGGAACAGAAACGATCCTAACGGAACCACACCGAACGAAAATAAACCGATTTTGAAGGAACTAAACTTAACGTTAGAGATCTGTAACAAATTGCAGCAAAACAAAACGCATACGACCAAACCGAACGAAACTAAACTGAACCGAAAGAAACCGAACTGTTTCAAACTAAACCGAAAGCAAAGAAACCAAACAGAACCAAACGGAACCGAAACAAACAAAATCTAAGACAAAGCTATAAATTTGCTTACTGCATTTTTATTGTAATTACTATTTAAATGCAAAACGATTTCCAAAGTAGAAATTGAAACGTCAATGAACTACTTTAACCTATAATTGTGGCTTATTCCCATTTAAATAGTATTTACTTTAAAACGCGACAAGAAAATAGCTTCAGTGCATTATTAATACTACATTAATGCTAAAATGCATTAATTTATTTTTATTGCCCTTACTTTACCTAAAAAATATATTTGGTCAAAAAAATTAGTAACCGCTGTAACCCGCTGATATAGGAATATAAATAAAAAAAAGTTTTTTTAAGCAGTTCTATTTATGCGTTGACATGTTTACATAGTTTGTGTAACTTTAGATAGTTTTGTGTCTTAAAAATATGTAGTTTTACTTAACGTATTCCAAAATTTTAAAAAATTGTAGTGTAGATATTAAAATACACACTGTTCTCCAATAAAACATTTCTTATAAGTTTATTTTATTTATGCTTATTTTTATCGCTCAGATGACAAAAGTTCCTTCGTCTATTTTTGAGGCCAGACATTTTCTTCGATCCATGGGATATAATGGGAGACTCTGGTAAATACTGAAGGATATTTAGTAATTCCGCAAGCTGCTCCAAATGAGGAAATTCCTACAGCCTCGTACATACAATTCATTCCGCTTTCATCTCTATGGAAAATTTGCAAAGGACCTCCAGCTTCGCTCTAAAAGTTAAAGAAAAACAACAAATATAAACAGTGGATACATTTTAGCAAATTACTTTTAAAAAAAGCATTATTAAATAAAAAAACTAATATGATATTATACAATTTAAAAAAGTTGGAAACTAAAATGATTGATAATTATTTGTTCAAAGTCTAGACAATAAACAAATAACAAAAAAAAATTTTAACGTGTAAGACGATAGTTGAACTAAAGTCAGGAGGACAAATAACGAGATAAGTAAAAGATACGAGGGACAATTTCAAAACGATGAAAGTAACGGAATAAGGAACAAGAGCACATAATTTGAATTAGGGTAAACAGTAACCCAGACAGCACAACAAATCCCCGGGACGTCCATTTTATGCCATTTTAAGGTCCAAGCGTCCCGGGACTTCTTTTGGAGGTCCGAGGGACGTCCAATGGATATTTCTAGTCGGACATACCAGGGACGTCCCATAAGGTCGTCTGAGGGACGTCCCATTAGGGATGTTTTCTAGATGTTAACTGTGTCAGCATATTTTTTACAAAATATAATATCTTCCTACTAAACTTTATTTTAAAAAGTTATATTTAGTTTTAAATACCAATAATTTATATGAAAACAGACATCTCTAAAATTTTGTTCAGTAGTGGAACTGAATTTTAAAAATTAGAAGATGAAAGAAGAATGTGGTTATGTTTTAACGACGCTTAGCTTTAGCTAGCATTTTCGGAATCTTTTATTTCTCGAATTATAATAATTGTGGTTGTGGTTGTAATTAGAGTTAGTTTATTGCATTTCGATACTAGTTTATAGTTTGGTAATTTATTATTATAGACATTAAGTAGGTATATAAGAATTTTATAGGTAATTTTTGTGGTTGTGGTGTGAGTTGCTACATTTGTAAAGTAAGTACTAGTAATGTGCTTAAAAAATACTATAAATTTAAATACATAATATGTTAATATAAGTACACAATAAAAATCCCATTTATTTTTGCTTTTCATTTTATTAGTTTTTTGTAAGTTCCCTTTAGGTCCTGTATACATTCTGATTTAGGTCCTGTATTAGTCCATGTGGACGTACAATTGATGTCCCCAATACATCCTTCTAAGGTCCTATATAAGTCAGTATTAAGTTCTGTATTTGTACTATATACGTCTCCATGAACATCCCTGGGACGTCCAGGGGACGTACCTTTTGGTAACATTTAGGTCTTATTGGACGTCCCGGGTACGTCCAAATTATGTAAACGGATGTCCGTGGGATATCCGGACATTTAATGAGGTACATCCTTCGGACGTCCATGGGACGTACTTGTGCTGTCTGGGAAGCTAAGTAAAGAATCTATGAACTCAAAATTTATTTAAATATCTGTTGTATCGCCAATTTTTTTTATGTTTATTGACAACCAGCTTTTTTAAATATCTATTGTAAGAGAAAGTCTAATGGTTTCGTAAAATTCGAACTAAGTACAATAAAACACATACACTTTTTCAAAAATAAAACTAAAGCATTACGCGTATACTGCTAGTACCTGACATCCATCAGTTGTGTTCCCTCCAGCACACACCAATTTATTTTTTATTATGCCTTGTGGTAACACATTTTCTAAATGTTTACGGGTATATTTCTTATTGCAACTTTCGTTACTGTCAAAGTTTACCAGAATCTTTACCATGTGAGTTGGTCTGTCTTCTAAAAAATTTGTTGAACCCCATCCTAAAAAAAACAAGAAGTTAATTGTGATTCAAGCTTAGAAAAAAGTTGCCTGCCGTAAAGGATTTTGTAATACTTTCCTTTCACGCCATAGTGACCGAGCCGGTACCACAGTTACATTAAAATTCTTAGTCAGTAGACCTTGCTGGCATGCAGGCAATGTGTTAAAATAAAATTATAATAAAATATTTTATAAATGCAAAAATTATAACAAACATATTTTATATATTGTATATATATATATATATATATATATATATATATATTATATATATATATATATATATATATATATTGAGATAATAATAAATATCGGATGAAGGAAGGTAACCAAATTGTTTAGAAACCTAGAATGAACTTAAATGGCGATTAAAGAAATAATTTATAAGTTATATAATCGAGAATATTATAAAAAGTACTTATATGAGGGCATCCTAAAGAAATTAGCATAATAGTTTGCTTAAAAAGTTTTTATTTTGCAATGTATTTGGTTATTTTAATAATTGTAATGTTGTAAATTGATATTTTTATGCCATCTATATAGGCAACCAAAGATACACTAAAGTAAGTTTGGTTGTTGGAACTTTTGTGAATAAGAGTGATATGGGAGAGTAAATTCAGGTGAAATTAAACAGAAAGTGGATATTTGGAATAATAATTATGGATTAAAATAGTGTTATTTACTAACTTAAGATGTTTAATTTATATATAAGTTTACATTCTGATCTGCAAAGCCTAAATTTCCATAAAATTCTCAATAGAAAAGTAAAGAATTATCTAGGAGTTTAACATAAGACGTCAATAGAAAGGATTTAACCTCTTTTCGTAGGAGAATATTCGCGAACATTGAAATATTTACAAAATAGAAGAGATTCAAACCTATTTTCTTTCGGGAATATTCGTGAACATTGACATATCTATAAATACGCTGTGATTTGGAGCATAGGTATTCAGTATTGAAAAAGTGGTAGTATGATAGTATTAGAGTATTGTCACCGTATTGTAGTATAGTAGAATATTATAGTACCTATTAGAGTATTAGTTGGAGATGAAAAAGTATATTATTTATATGGAGATTTTAGATTGGAAGATAGAAAAAGATTATTAGAAAGAAGAATAAACAAGAAAGCAATAAAGAAGGAAGAATATTTTACCCATTTATAAATGTTAAACAGAAAAATATTTTGAAATGGTGGAAGCTAATAACTGAAAGATTGTGGTCTATTTGGCAAAGGGATTTCATAAAAAGAAGGATAACCAGAGGCTGATAACAGAGACATTAAGTGGCGATTAAAACCATTATTTTGGAAAACAGTTTCATTTAGGAAAATTTTGTTAATATAATTTAATTGTTTTATTAAGAATTTTATTTTAAAGATAGGTTTGTTTTAAATTCATATTTAAATATTGTTTAAATTAGATATATGTGTGTGTTTCCTAATAATTATACTAAAGATAATTTCAAAAGTGCTTACAAACTAGTTCTTTGAGAACTGCGACAAAAACCCTATATAGGTTATCAAAAAATACTCGTTGCTCATAAAACAATACACAAACAAAATATTATAGCAATATATATATATATATATATATATATATATATATATATATATATATATATATATATATACATCCTACTATCATTTTGGCATCGATACATTATGCTTTTACCATCAATTTAGCATCGTCTTGCAAAGTAGCATCTGTATATCGACGCTACTTTACAAGACCTTAATAACTTTTTTCATGTACTTGTTACAAGAATTTTAACCATCTCAATGATTAGAGATTTGATACCGTGTTGGTATTTTAAAATGTCCGCTTTCTCTTTTTATCCCTTACTGAGTTATATAAGTTTATTCCAGGAAATGTTTGAGTCTAAAATGATGGTACAGTGAAAATATTATATATATTTAGTTCAGGGTTTTACCGTCTACTCGCTGCCATTATATACATGAAAATGTATATCGCACTTTCATTATCAATCATTTTGGCATCAGAAATTTGGCATCGCTGTTGAATATAATATTACCCACAACGAAATGGTAAATTTAAGAGTTTATATATATTTTTTTCATCCATAAATCATTCTAGCATCTTGTTTGATTAAAAATAACGGGTTATATATTGGGTATATATAACAAGGTATATATTGCATATTTTTGCTCCAATTGGTCCAGTCGTGATGTACAGCATCTCAAATGATAGGATTTAACCAATAAAATACAATAAGACAGAAAAGCAGCATGTCAAAAAGGCCTTAGTTATATATCTTCGTTTCTATAAGTCCAATCGTGACGTACAGTATCTCAAATGATAGGATTTAACCAATCGAAAACAATGAAATAGAAAAATCAAATACAGCATCATGTCAAAAGGGCCGTAGTCACGTATTTTTGATCCTATTAGTCCAATCGTGACGTATAGTACCTCTAATGATAAGATTTACCGTAAGGAATACAATGGGATAGAAAAATGAAATACAGCACAATGTCAAAAGGGCCTTAGTTGTGTATCTTCGGTTCTGTTAGTCCAATCATGACGTGCAGTACCTCAAATGAAAGGATTTAACAAATAAAATACAATGAGATACAATGAGGTAATGGAGTTGCATGTCAAAAGGGCCTTAGTTATGTACCTTTGGTCCTATTAGGCCAATAGTGACGTACGATATCTTCCCCAACAGCTTTTCCGTTCTTTATCTGATTTGCCGCTTTGATAATTTCTTGCTTTGTGATATAAGGTCCAGTCGATGCCTCCTGCATGTAAATGTTCGTCCTCTCTCGGTCTTGAAACATCTCTTCCACGTATTCTCTCCATCTACCTATTTGATCTTCTCTGTTCAGTAGCGGGTTCCCATGTTTATCTTCGATGAAAGACGTAGGAGTTTGTTTAAATATTCCAGCGGCTTCTTTTACTTTTTTATGTAGATTGAAAGTATCATGTCTTTGTTCCAACTCTTCAATTTCTTGGCATCTTTCACTTAGCCAGGTTTCTTTGGCTTGTTGGATCTTTATTCTGATATTCTTGTGTATTTGCTTGTATGTTGTTTCATTTTTACCTCTGTATTTTCTTCTTTCGTCCATCATGTTTAGAATTTCTTCTGTCATCCATGGTTTGTTACTCTTGTAAGTGTTTTCTCAATATAGTGCCAGTCTTCCTCGGGAGTTTGTGTCGATTGTACTGTTCTGTTACTCAAGTGTCTATGTATTTCTTCCCGTATTTTATTACTAGTGGATTCTTCTTTAAGCTTATCTGGGTTAATAGCTATTATTTGCTTATTTCTTTTTGTTCTTTTAAATTCTATCCTAATTGTTGTAAGAAGAAGATTGTGGTCGGTGGGGATGTCCCTAGTATTTTTAAAATATACCAATTAGATAATAATAATCAAGCAATAGAACACTGAAAACTTTTTTTTAACTGTCCGCCCGTGAATGACTTGCCATTTTTTAAATAACACTTCATATTGCACTTTTTTATTGTATCTTTCTCATTTTTTAAGATAATTCTTGTAGGAATATATTTATTTATAACATACGGTCTTATGGTCTCACGACAAGTATTACGGCTTGATTATACAACCTAAATATATCTTGTACCGCACTGTTAATTGAGAATTATGTTTGTAATGCGATAAGAGGACCGTATATACGAGACACCAGTGACTTATGCCACACATAAAACTTCGACAGGAAATTCTATTTCTACATTTCTATAAAAAAATAGATTACTTGTTTTGTGTAATAATTTAGTTTAGGTCGAACAAGAGTTGCAGTAAAAATTTTTTCTGAAATAGAATTTAAATCATATTTCGAATGCTTTGTGAAAGATAACCAATTTATAATATTTCCGACAACGTAAAAACACATTTCTTTTAGAATATGGGTCGATGAATTCAAATCATAGTTCAAGAAACGAATTTATGTGCAGATGTTCTATTACAAAAAATTCAAAACCAAAATCTAGATTAAAAAAGTCGCAACTACTTATACTGAAACTTCACCCCATTATTGATTTCACAAGTGATAAAAAGGGTCGACAAAGAACCAGTTTTAATTATTACAACATTTAAACATAATAGTTGTATCTTGGTTTATTCAGGTGGAAAGAAAAATTAGACACAAGTGCTAAAACCACAAACTATTCTAAATTATAACGTTGTGAAAAAAGAGTTGATTTTAGCGATCAAATGGCTTTTTACAAAAGCCCAATACGCAAAATACTAAAGTGGTACCGGAAAGTGGCAGTGGAATTAATATTTAATACCGCAGTAGTCAATACTTAGTTGCTAAATAATAGAAAACGCGAAAAAAGCGACAACCTATCCTTGAGTTCAGACTGGAATTAGCGAAGGCGTTTGCAAATAAAGAAATGTTGAAACCCTGATGACTAATTACACCCAAAAAATACCATCTCAGGCAAAGCGATGTAGATAATAAAAAGAGAAGGAAGTGTACAAGAGGTTACAAAATTTTAAGAATAAGCGTGACTAGTAGAAAGGCCGATAGAAAAATTAAAAAAATTAAAACATACTGTGAAGAATGTGATAGCAAAACTGCAATATGTCTAGTGTGCTTCAATGAAGCAAATTAAAAAGCAATTTTACTTATACAGGAATTATTATTGAGTAAAAACGTGTTGTGCCTCAAGTGCCCTTATAGTATTGGAAAACGTAAATTGATAGTTTCTAGTAGTATGTTTTCATTGTTAATTACGTATGTTAAAGTAAGTTATAGTATTTGTAAAAAAATGGATGTAAATAATATTATGTGTTCGACGTCTAAAAAAGCTAGACGTAAACATAAACGTAGATTGACCACTGCTGAATTACAATCATTTTTAGAAGCATCTGGCGAGGATGATGTAGATTAAATGAATGGTGGAAGTGACTCTGACGAAATATTTGCACAAAGTCGTTTAGAAAAATCGAGGATTGCGTTTTGGAAACAGACAACACAAACAGAATTTAAAACTTTTCTCGGGCTTATATTCCAAATGAGGAC